ATATATATATATACATATATATATATATATATGATATATATGATATCATATATATCATATATATATCAGTAATATAATAATATATATATATACAATATAATAATATCAATATAATATATATATCAATAATATAATAATATAATCAATATAATATACATATCAACAATATAATAATATATGTATAATATACTATCTTCTTATATTATTATATATATTTACAACTATAATTACATAATATATTATACAGTTTAATATATAGTATATAGCATTATAATTATAATAGATAATTATATTATATTTATAATTACTACAATAAGATGAACTGATGAGAGATTAAACAAAAACTTAATTTTGAAATATTCGATCGTTTCATCACGGTAAGGAATTAGTTTCACTTACACTGCGTATCGTATCGGTGTTATCACGAAGTAATCACCGTCTCTTTAATTTAAAGGCAATTTAAATTATTAATTTAATAAAAATTTTTTCCTGCTCCCCTCTTTTTTGTTTGCTCGCTCCTTTTTTTGGTGCAATGAAGATACATAGACGAAAGGTCATTTTCTTGTCACATGTTCGCATCATCACGGTGAACGTTAAAAATCTTCCTCTGTGACGGAATTGTGTTGCAGCGATCCCGATCGTGCGATCTTCGTTCCATTCAAGAAAGTGATCCTGGCCTGGTGCACCACTTGACCCGAGCCGCCCAGCAACCTGCCGACTCCCCGAATCCTGCTGTCTCAGTACACCATGTGAATCGAGAAAGGGAACGACATGGAAACACGTATATATGTATGTAAGTACATATGCACGTTGCGCGCGATCTCAACGAGTACGTGACACTTCTTTTCACCATTAACTAATCCACGAAACGACACTTTGACATACAAAGAGGAGAAGAAGGGTAAGTTCTCGAGAGAGAGAGAGAGAGAGAGAGAGACGCCTTTAAAGTTCACCTACGAACTCGTCGGAAATTTCAAAATTTCGACTTTTCCTTTCTCGACTTTCTTTTTCTCTCCGATCGTATTTCCGATCAACAGATCTCACTGACTGTACCTTGAAATCTAGGGATGAGTTATTTACGTTGATTAGGGGCGTGATCGTTCGCGTTCGTCGCGAAGGTTGAAAATAACGATAAGTTCGATCTCGATCTCGATCTCGATCCCGATCGAAACAATCGGGATATGTTCGATGTGTTTGTTCGATGTGAGTTACTTAGAGGGGGGGTATTCTAGATGTAACTAGCTACCGATCTCTGCTAACGATTTCCCTCGGAAAATCGGCAAACTCAGTATTATTTATTATCGTTCGGAACTGTAAATTATGAATTATGCGTGTATCGTTGCCGAAGAAGAAGCAACCCTTATTGATAAACCGGTGGTAATTAATCGTTCGTGAACGATTCGAAAAAAGAGAGAGAGAGAGAGAGAGAGAGAGAGTGAGAGAGAGTGAGAAACAAGCTGTTAACAAGTTCTAGATTTAAGAAGATTCGTCACAACTTGTCGGCATTGATCTCTCGCCATCGCGATCGCAATGAAGGACTCGCTATTGTCATTCACGTGTACAATTATATCATTGTATTTCCTTCCTACCGGTTTTCAGTTTCCCTGAACGAACAAACGAACGAACGAACGTTCATCTATATATTTTACAGCACACAGTGTGTGATATATTCCCCAAGAGAGGGGAAGAAAATGACAGAGAGAGAGAGAGAGAGAGAAGAAGAAGAAGAAAACACGTAGGTATATATATAAGAAAACACAGGTATATATATATATATATATATATATATATATATATATATATATATATATAAACCTATTTTTATAACTCTTTGAGATCGTGAAGGTTTTAATTGAAGAGCGGGAAAATAAGAAGAACATGCCGGAAGCGTTTTTTTTTTAATTATAAAGGAGGATATTGTGGTGGATGGCACGATGTTGTTGATAAAAAGAAAAAAATATACAAATGTTTCTCACAGTTCGAATAAAAACGAGCGCGTAGAAGAAGAACGACTGTCGCTTTTTGTAACTACTTTTGTTCGCTGTGATGATATGATATGATATGAAACAGCTAACGAGATCTTCTCCGTTACTGCAGACGATATGAAATCTTCTTGTGCGAATGTCCGGACTGTTCAATAAGCGTCGTTCCACAATACTTTCAGCGTTCGATCGATATCGCGTTAAAGTGATTCTTCGTGTCGCCGCGTGTCTACTCTTTCGCAGAAAATTTCCTGATCATTTCATCGACAAACGTGAAGTCGTGCTCGTGTCTCGCTTAACGTTCTTCTACTCGAAGTTCCATTATTTTGGAAAAGCTGAAGCGAAGAGAAATTTAGGAAGAGGCAAGGCAAAGTGAATCGCTCGAGTTTCTTTTTTTTTTTTTTTTTTTTTTTTTTTTAGAAAAGATTAGATTAATTAATAACGAAGGATTTCGATAATAATATATTCCTCTATATTTTGTATACATATATTATGTTTTGATATATTTAACGTTTACAGAGCTTTCTGCAACAGATGAAAGTGTGTCTGAAAATTACGAAACTTTCATGCAGAAATATGTATGATACACGTACATTTATTCGATTCGTTTGCCCATGGAAATTTACCCTAAGAGCAGTGAAATCCGACTGTTTTCCCGATTTTTCTATTAGAGACAAAAAAGAAGTTTCGAAAACAGTCGATCGAAGGAACGTTATGCAGCAAAATCAATTGTCGATCTAATTAAAAAAGAAAGTCCTTTGTCTTCTTTCCGTTTTTTTTTTTTTACTCAATCAGAGATTTTTCAATCGATACAACTCATCAATACAACGAAGTTTATGCTATCTCATAGTTTGTTGCATGAAATTTTCACTCGAGACATTAAAGCAAAAGAAAGAAGAGTACACAAGCTTTTATTTATATTCTACAAGGAATCATTCAACTACGTTGCTTTACATTTATAAAATTCCTGATAGAAATTACAAATTGGCTGGTTTCTAGCATTAAACTACCAAAAGTTTCATACAAAAAAAAAGAAAAGAAATGAATTCCAGAGAAGATTATTAATATATTTTTGTTTTCAATTTTTATCTACCTGTATAAATAATTGATAAATTTATCACTGTATGATAGTGATTGATTAGAAGAAGTGTAGCTCTTTTCCTTTCGTAATAATAAAATGGCGAATTTTCTGGAATTAATTTTGAAAATTTCCGCAGGAAAAAGAAGACAGACGAACCTGGTGAAAGGTTTGACACGTTAATTTTCGAATTAATTAATTTCACCTCGGAGTTCAAATATTAAAAAAAAAAAAAAAAAAAAAAAACACTATCCAAAATATTTTCAGCCAGCTCGAATTTCAATTTCTCCAAGCAGATATTCGTCGAACCTGGTAACATCTGTTACCGAGCAGCTCTGCTCCACGCGTCATTAAAGTGACAATATCGATTCCTCGTTGCGACTCTGGCCACGCGAAGTGTTTCACCCCCTCCCCCCTCGTGATAACGTCTCGACGATGATAATCAAAACTATCACGGCGAATCGATGATGGTCTGATGGGCCACAGAGATTCACGCACATACATACATACATACATACATATATATATATATATATATATATCAAAGATGCTCGCGTGATCACGCGAAACGCTTGGAAACACTGCGCGTACATTCTGCGCCATCGCGTGCATGTATCGCTGGTTTCGAAGAAATATAGTGCGTTTGTAAACTCGGTTGGAAATTAGCTGCGAGCGTGTTTGCAAGCGTGAAAAGCGCCAACATCGACGAGAGGAGTTGTTGCTGTGTTGTTAGTCGATTTGTGTTAGAACGATTGTTGAGATACGTAGCTTATCTTGCAATTGGCCGAGCAAAGTGCACAGGTTGTGATTGGAAATCTGGTTCGAAATGGACGAAATGGACAAGAGAGGAGTTTCCGTAGGCGTCGGCAATTTAGATGAGAAAGAGAAAGAGAGAATGTATGTTCTGGATCGAATCGAAATTGTTGGTAACTGAAGATGGATAATCGGGCACGCACCATGCATGCACTGTCGCGTGGTTTTATTAGCTCTAAGAAATATATCGTTGTACGATCCGATTTATATTGTTGTTCGTGTTTATTGTGTCGTGTGTGTAAAGTGGTCCACGTGAAACTGGGACAAGTATACTTCTCTTCCTTGGTTGTAACATTTCACCCTGTATGACACTATACGTGTCCCATCCCAGCTACTATTCTCTATAAACAGAATGCGGGAAACGTAAGGAAACGTTTGAAGAACTCGTCACGGTTTTTTTCTGGATCACTTTCCCAAACGAGGAGTAATTAGAAAACTGTTTGTTATTAACCCTCAACTGGCATTCTCAGACCACCGTGATTAACCACGCTAATTTAAAATGAATAAAAAAAAAAATTAAGCGAACCTAGCGAGTAAATGACTGGTAACGATAATATCAGGTCGTGGATATAATACCCAAGAGATCGTTCGATCTGTGTCACACTTTGTTCCAACGCAGTGGTCGCTCCGTTATACACTTGCGAATGTACACCCGATAAGTTTTTCAACATCGACATCCCCGATCGAGAGAAGATGGAAACGTCTTCACACAACACGACGTTTCCGCGCGCAGCCGGCTCCTTTCAGTTCAGTGACATTGCTTCGATTTTTCCATTAGAAAACGCGGCGACACGCGCCGATGTCGATGTATCTATCAGTTACCGTCGTTGTTCACCAGCGGTTTGAAACCACGACTGCGCTATATTTCTTCAAAGCTACGTCCGTGCATTTTAAAGGGAGACCGCGTAACACATACAATTGAAAAACGACGATCGAAAGAGAAATGAAAAAAAAAAAAAAGAAAGATAATTCGTAACTGGAGGCTATACGCGTGTATATGTACGTCATCGACAAAGGTTTTTTTCCATATTTAACACGTTCCGTGCCATGTGTACCACCGGTGGTACACGTTAAACTT